AAATGAATTTTGACAGCAAATGCATTTTTTCCAGAAGCAACTAGCGCCCCTTCCCAGTTCCCCCTGTTGATCAGTAAACGGTTAAATGTGTCACTGCAAACTTTTAAAATAAACTTTACCTCTAACTGGTGAGTTCGAGGATTCAGTTTTTTGTGTCACAGGCAGAAACGATAAAAAAACCCTTTCTTGAAGCACAGATGGGTCGCTCTGAAATCCTCGATTCAACTCCGGATCGCTAGCTGATCTTCTACTTCTTGGACTCCCTTCTCCGTGTAAAGGCATCACGCGAGGTTTAAGGAACTAAATTAAACTCCAATGATAACTACCAAAGTTGTTGTTTTCTTGATTTTTATGCATTACTCCAACAAAATATTTCTCGAGCAAGAAGTTAAAGAATAATTTTCTCCTCATGTAGAAACTTATTCAACAGGTCTGATAACGAGGCTTGGGCAATAACTAAGTGAATGAATAGTAACCTTGGAGCGTGGAATAATTCTCCCCGGAAGATTTTTCTTGGGCTTCAGCGCGTGACCGTTCATTGTTTTTGTATTACACTGTTTGTAACCATTCACCAGTTTTTTAGCAAATTTTGACTTCTCTTCTTCCGTTACGCTGCAGTATCATTACTTTAACAGTTATCAAAAAGCTATCAAAAATCAAGAAAAATTTAGTCCTTCCTTTCATTTACTTGTAGGATATTGGATTAATAAAGAAATTTACAGCTCACAGTGATGTGTTATTTCACGGAAGTGTTTTACAATTCAGAAAAGATGAAAAAATTACGCAGAAAAGGCACCTTTTAAAAGAGTTCCCAGTTATTCTTTGAATCCTTTCCATTCGATCCTCTTGTTGCCTAATTTTCAAGCGTTCTTGTGCCTCTAAAACCCGTTTTGATAAGTTACTATAATTTTCTAATATCCTATCCAGAAGCCAATCGAGGCCATCCAATATTGACTTATCAATGTTTTTCCCTGTCCCTCTAACTGCACTGCAACATTCCTAAATAAAAAAAATTTGATTTAAATTTGCTGTACATGTTGAACGAAAAATATACTGCGATTACCGACTAGCAACTGACCAATTATTAAGAGAGTAATGGAATCAGAAAATAAAAAGTTTATAGGGGCTGATTATGGCAATAAAACCATTTGACCACGTTGAATGCTTCACCTTTTTGGCTAATTTCAGTGTTTAAAATCAGTACCGTTGCTTCTACTAGTTTAGAAAGTAAAAAATAAATTTTTTAAAGGATGAAACGTTAATTAAAGCTGACTAACAAATCGGGAATTTCTTTCGATAAAAGAGTGAGTTATGTTTAGCTGGATATACCAATTTGAAGACTCATATTATCAAAGTTTTATTGAAGGCTATCACCACTTTAACGTCGCTTTGAACCTCAAGTAGGTCCTCACTCAGCGTGTAGCAAATGCAATAAATTGGGCTGTTAGAAAGTGAGAGTTCTTATGACAGATCATGGTAGGTATATCAGGCAATCTAACAGACCGAGGTATTCATCAGTTTTAAGTTAAACTCTCCTCTGTCAAGTTCACCATACTAAAAAATGAGCTGAAGCTGCAATACCTATTCTGAAATTAAGGAGCGAAGCTGAAAAAATCAACTTTTCCAATTTTCTAGCATTAAGAATCTTTGCCTATCCAAAGTAAAAATTTTGGTAAGTCATCTGATGACGCAGTTGTAATTATTTCTATAAGTTTAAAAACTAAACTGTGGTTAAAAAAACACTGGTCAGATAAAGCCAAAGAGTTCTAGACCTCCTGACCTAGAAGGATTGAAATGATGGCCTAGCAAAATAAGGAATTATGTACGAAAGTAGCCGATAGGAAAAACAATGAAACAGTGAAGAAACGGATAAATTCTACTTTCTGCTTTCTCTATTGATCTGTCTAAATTTCAATTCAATTTCCTTTCTCAAAATATGAATATTTTCAAGTACTGAGCAAAAGAAATACAAGCGTTAAATGATCATTTGCCTCATAAAAAGCGATTGAATGCCTTGATCCATCAGTATTCTAATAAAAAATCTATGTCTTTACATCTTCCTAGCTAATTTATTTCAAACCTCTCATACCCAGCCATTTTTCAGATTGCTATCTGAAAACTATAGGTAGCTGATATAACCTAGGATTTCGAGGCATTTTCAATATACGATATACAAACATTAGAAGTTGTTGCACAACGAACTAACCACTCGGATTTGAGCACTATACTGTTCGGCAAGGTCATGCAATCCCATTTTGTCAGTTAGTTGAATTTCATCCAGGCACCCACCACGATCCTTCTTATTGATCAACAATAATAGCGGCTTCAGACTGAGGTCAGTATTACTCAAAACCTCACTTAGCAACTCTCTGTTATCTTCAATGTGGGTGTTGTCAGCACCGTCAAGCACAAATATGACCCCGTAAACCTAAACAGGCTTGTAGCCATCTGTGACCACTGCAGAAAGACCGTATTTTAAACAACAATAGTGAAATAAACAATTTAGTGAAGCCATCACAAAGAGCCATACTTCGGAGTAATAGTTGCTCCAAATAGCCCTTATCCTTTCATCACCACCGAGGTCGTAAAAGACAATTTTGACAGTCTTGTAGTTGACTTTACACAGTGAGAATCCGTTTGTAGGCAAAACTTCGCTGATATTGTCTGCAATATTGCTCGGAACGTATGATTAAAGAGAAGCAGCAAGTAAAACCTTCAAAGTTTTAACTGCTTGCGCCATGAAAACAAACATTTTCGCTCCAAAAATTTTATTAAAAAGCACATACGTAGTGCTTTTTTAAAAATTATCACGTACAGAAGAAAAAGCGTTGACGCTGGCGAGACTACGCAATAAATCAAAAGACGGAACAAATATAAATCTAACCGTTAGCAATTGCTTTAACTACCGTCGATTTGCCAACCCCGTCAACACCCAGAAGACACAGGCATACTTTCCTAAATTGTTCATCAATTTTACACAAAACTATATTTATTGAAAACAGTTTCATCTGATGAAAATCCTACACTGCTAAGAATCATCGATAACGGCAGTGGTGTCAATAGTTTCAGTCAACTCATAATAACAACAACAGCAAAATTTACGAAATTAATGCTCCTGATCAAATATGTTTAACTACACTTTTTATCCTTCAATTTTAAAAAAATAATTTTTCCAATACTGGTAATCAGCCAACGTGAAACTTTGAAATAAAGAACAGGTGTGGCCAACTAATAAGTGAATCGGTAAAACTGAGTTTAGTAAAAACGGCAGCTCTAGTACGAGTTGTAGTTAAACAGCAGTTTATAGTAATCAAATTACCGTTTTTTGCAAAATGGTGAACTTCTTTTCTTTGTATACTGTTTGAAACCTCCAACACAATTACCCATAGCTCACATCTTCGAAGATTCGTCGACACCGTTTTTTTCTAATTTGATCCTCTTTTTCTGTGCCACAGTCATAAAAGAATTCGTATGAAAGCCTAAAATTTTTTGGTTACTATGGAGACAGCAGAGCACCGAACAACACCGATGTGCATTACCAACATATGAATAGCGCATGGTCGGAAGGATGGATAGATGGTTAGGTTACCTACGTATTGGGTTTGTTCCGTGAACTTTGTTTTCCCACTAATTTCAACCATTTCATTTATATGGATCTTCCATGTTCCTTTACCTCAGAACGTTTTCCAGCCGACTAAAAACGCTACCATTATATTTGATATGCCAATTATGACTTTTTTTTTTGCTTTGCTTTTACTAATCATAAAAAGTGGAGTAAGAACATAACGAATGAACATATAGGCAGGCATTTTCTCTGTCATTTCTTTTATTGAAAAGGACCCGTCACAAGAAAATACTTTGCAATGTTCGTTAACTTTGAAAAACTTTAACAGAAGTATTCTTGATTTCTGACTAACTTCCTGTACCCATTGTAACCAAAAGTGACAAAAACAGCCATATAACCACTTTTACAGTTTTTACTTTACCCAAATGCAAAAGGCCCTAATATTTTGAATACTAGCGAATCAACTTGAGAGCTAAAATTGAGCAGCTAAAAAGGTAACTTTTTTCCTATCCAGTAAACTCAATAATTTCTCAATAAAATCTCCTTTACAAAACACGAAAAACATGCTTAAAAGCTCAAGATGTAGAAACTGCCAGTTTATGACCGCTTCACCAATAACGAATCAGCAGCGATAATACTATATTTTATTTTTCCAGAAACATACCAAACTCGTTCGAATTGATGGAACGCTTCGAACACAGAGAAAGCACTAATTTTTCTGGTTGGCAGGCACTTACATGAAATTCAAAATTCAAATTTGCATTACTTGTCAACAAGAACTAGAAAATGTCATTTTTTTATCCCCTCCCGAATAACCAATTTCACTTGTGGAACTGAGAACAGTCCTGCTTATTTAA